AGTTGTCTACCTCCCCTTCTACCCCGTAAGTCTGCCGCCACCCAAGCTGGCGTCCCTTTAACGAAGGCCGCCGCTGGTGAGCGGGCGAGTCGCTCCTCGAACGCTCTAACCCTCTTGTTGAGGTAGAGGTCAAGCGGTGGGCAAAAGGTCTCCGTCTCCACACTAAACGTAGACGCGGCCTTGTAAGCGCCAGAGACAACCTTCAAGCTGTTGGTCTGGGTCATTGCAAGCGCCTTCGTGAGACCGCGTGGTTCCCCAAGCGGCTCTGATGGCGTGTGGTACGCTGACGCTCCATAGGCTACTGCCGCACGAATTGCCTTTGTGTACACTTCCCTTGCTCGGACGAGGCTACAACCCCACGTTTTCGCCGCGATGCGTGTGAGAGCGAAGATCTGTGTTGACATTTTCTTCTTTACCGCCTGAAGGTGTTCTCGGTAGTTCAGTTTGCGGTCCAGCCACACCCCTAGAAACCGCGCCGACTCTGTGGGAGTCAGCTGGTGCCCCCCCAAGTCGACGGTCTCGGTCCGTGGCTGTCGGGTTTTGGTGAAGTGAATGAGCTCGGACTTGCTAGCCTCAAACTCCATTCCTCTCTCCTCCGCCCATCTGTGGCAGATCCGCCATGCTTCGTTCAGCTTCTCGCAGTTCTCCCTCGTCGACCTTGAAAGGCCAAGATTTTAGTATCATCTGCGAACCCAACCGTTACTATGCCCTTCAGTCCCTTCAGTGCCTCATATACTGTGGCAATGAAGATCAAGAAGAGGATTGGTGAGAGGGGGGAGCCCTGCGGCACCCCTGTGGGCACCTGAAACTCCCGCGATGACTTTCCGTCGAAGAAGAGACTCCCTCTTCAGTCGGTCAGGAAGCTCTCGACCCATTGGAGAAGCCATTGGGGCAGCCCCTTTTCCCACAAGGTGTGGAGGAGCCACCTATGGTTAACCCGATCGAATGCCCCCTTGAGATCTAGGAAGAGTAGTGAAGCTACCGCCCCTAGCTCCCACGCTGTGTGCACCGTCTCCGTCACTACCCTGATTGCAAACTCTATCGATCTCCCTTTCCTATTCCCCATCTGTCCCTCGGGCAGGAGCCCATGCTCCTCCGCCACGAGGGCGAGTCGGTCCGCAACAATTGTCTCCAAAATCTTCCCCACGCAACTCAAGAGCGCTATGGGGCGCCATGCTCCTACCATCTTCTGCTGTGCTGCCGTCTTTCCTGGCTTCTTCAGAACCACTACTTTCGCATGCCGCCACCGTGCTGGGAACGAGCCGAGGGTAAAGCTCCCGGTAGCAATCACAGCTAGCGCTTCCGCCAGCCGCCTCCCGCACGCCTTGAGCAGCTTGTTGGAGAGCCAATCGCTTCCCGGGGCCTTGTTGGGGCCCATACGGCGTAGTGCCTTCACTACGTCGTCCGTACTAACCCTACAACTCATTGGCAGTTCGACCTCTCTTCCCTCTCTCCAGTCCGGTAGATGGTTTGTTGGCACCTCTACCACCGGGAAAAATCTTTCCGCTAAGATCTCCGCTTTGCCTTCATGACTCCGTTCCTCCTTTACGTTGCCTTCTCGATGTAGCGCCGGGATCTTTGGGGGGTCGGACGGCAGATGGCTCTGTGTCCTACCCCACCGCTCTAGCGTCCAGAGCTTCCTCAGGTCTCTCGACGCGTCCTCCGTGAGGGTGCGCCACCGTTTCGCCTGCATAAATTGGATGGCATCGACTTGCTTGCGTCTCGCTTCCTCCAGCTCTCGTCTTCTCATCGGTGTTCTCCTCTGCCTCCATGCTCTTGCCATCTTTCTGGCGTGCTTAACGACCTCCTTCACGCCCAAGTCCCACCAGTCAGCACGCTCACCCCTCCCTCACTTCCGTTTCGGGACCGCCTCGTCCGCAATACTAGTCAACTCCTCCATCAGCCGTTTGGTAGCGGTCTCCAGTTCGGCAACCGTGGTAATTACCGCCGGGACCGTTATATACCCATCAGCGAGTTCCTTAACCTTCCTGGCATCCATAAGTGCCCAGCTGTAGCCTTCTTCGATGTCCTTCGGTTCCTCGGTGATTTCAGAGCGGATTAGGACCGATTGAGCTTGGTGGTCCAATCCGGTGAGGGCTCCGTCTTCCACCGTCTGATGTGTGGCATACAGTGTTTCTGCTATCCAAGCATGGTCTATGGTGCTGCTGCGCTCCCGCCGTGTTTCGTTCCCCAGCCGTGTCGGCTCGCCTCTCGGCGTCGCGAGTACGAGTCGATGACTCGCCGCTAGCGAGAGGAGGACCTGACTGCCTCTGCTCTGTCTTCCGTGAATGTCCCATATCGGGTGGTGGAGATTCATATCCTTGACCACGACGTCCCTTCCCATCGGTCTCGATGCGATTTCTCTTAGGGGGGTATGCCATTCACGTTCAGGACCCGAGTCCCAAATTGGTGAGTAAACCGACCATCTCCTTATTTCCTTCTCTCCTTCTCCTAGCCTCACCATTACCCAGTCTTCTCCTTGTTTGTAGTCCCACCGATTGATTGCGAAGCGTTTGCTCACATACAGCGCCGCGCGTCCCTGGTTGGCACTATCCAACGCCCAGTAGCGCGAGGCCCTGGTGTTGGGGATGCCGCCCGTGGCCGTACTCCGGCCTGGCTCTTGGATCGCTGTGATGTCGTAGCGGTCCTCCATTTCCAACGCGATCTTCATCCTATTGTATGACTTTGCCACGTTCCAGTACAGAATCCTTAGATTCATGGAGCGGAAGACAGGGCAGTATTCTTCTGGTGTAGTCGTGGGCTCGTCCTGGTAGCGCCAATTAATGTCTTAAGTGTCTTCTTCATCTGGCGCTTCGCCCTAGCTTCTTCCAGCTTGGCGCGAAGTTCTCATTGTTGCTTCGTGTAGGGGCCTCGCTTTTTGTTAGCCTGTACTTCTTGCCATTCAGATTCCAGAATTGCTAAGTCTGCATCTGGGAGATCCAGGTCGCTGTCTTCGTCAGCGGGTGTGGGTTGGGACCGGGACGGCGTCGCAGGGGGGACGTCCCTCGTAGGTTCATACGTTGCCGCGGTTTGCGTCTGCTGGAGGAGCTGCTGCTGTATGCCCTCTACGGCCGGCTGCGTGGCTTCAGGCTGGCTCGGGGCCAGTGTTTCGTCGATTGTTACCGGTTCCGCCCGCTGGGCGAACACGCGTGGGCGTTCCATGAAGGCCGTGGAGGAGCGACCGAGCGCCGCTTTTACAAGCGGGCAGTTGCGAGAGAACGCGTAGTGTCTTTTGCGATTGCAAGGTAGGCACTTCACAAGGTCGGGTTGTTGGTTGGAGGGGGAATTGGCTTCGGCATCCTTCATTGTTCTATCCGGGTGTCTCTTCTCGGCGCAGCGAGGGCACCGTGCTTCTTTCTCCTTGGGGTAGTAGCTACGCAGATGACCGTACTCCCAGCAGTTGTAGCCCTGTTGTGGGATTGCGTCACGCTCGAAGGGCTCACAATAGAATGCGTTGCCCATCCAGAGGAGGGGGTCGCTAGTGAGACGACCTCCATCGTCTGCAGTAGGAACCTCCAGGAGGAGAGAACCCCTCTCGCTCCCATGCTTCCTCCGGAATGCCTTCGCTCTGACAATGTCGATCTTGTTCGCTACGGACAACTCCTTTGCCAGCTCCTCTGGCTCGAGGTTGTCGATGAGCGCCCACGGCAGGCCGCGGGCAATCACCGAGACCGTACGGAACGCGACCTTTGCGTCTTTGTGGAATGTGTGTGTCACCCAAACTTGATTCTGTAGACACCACTTCCTCCTTTCTTCTCCGAATGTGATAACGTAGTCTCCGCTGAGACGCAGCTTCGTGACCGCTTTGGCGTCGGCCTTGGGGAACTTCTGATTGATCACCTTCACAATATCGCTGGCCGTACGCCTCTCCTGATCAGCAGAGGGTGGCTTATCGTTCAGTTTGACCGTGAGGCATCGTTCGGCTCGAAGGGGGACGAATTCTTGGGTGCCCATCGGGGCAAGGTGGGATCTTTTCAGGCCCGTCGGGGCAAGGTGGGATCTCTTCAGGCCCGTCGGGTGGGTGTTCGGGTTTGCAGCTATGGTAGCCCAAGTCTTCGGGGGGTCGCTTGCTTCTTTGCAAATTCAGCGACCATTTTCTTCAGCTCGTTCATATCGTTCTTGAGCTGCTCGGTGGTGTTATCGTGAGGTTGAGGCGTCCAGCCTCGTGCACGCAGGATGTCCTTCGCGATTTCAAAAAGTCTTTCCGCCCACGCCGCGCAAGCGTCTTGTGGGCTATTAACACCGGGGAAATTCATAGCCTCGAGAATAAACTTCGCCGCATCTTCCTGAGGGGATTTTGGGGCCGCGGGGGCTTCTGGCTCGGCGCCGCCGGCCGTGATTGTCATCGTCAGTGTTCCGGCCACGGGATTTCCGGGCGCGTGCCGGCTCGTCGCCAGACCGCCACCGGTGCTCCCGACCGCCGCGTCTTCGATGCGCAATTGATGCGGCATCGTAGATAGGGGCAATCGGACGTCCTGAACACGATTCTGATGTTAAAAAAGATTTTGCTGTCGTCATCGACCAAGAACCCGCGTTTCAACTTTCCGCGAGCTTTTACTAGGAATATATTAAGAATAGTTTAATACTATAATTTAACGGTATACGTACATAGTAACGAAGTATCGGATACGGTTATTTAATTATCATGTTAATAGCGTTTGGGTTATAGAACATATTTTTGTTAAAAAAAAATAAGAATTTAAATACATTATTTTTCTATAGAGATATTCAAGTATTTTATTATTCCTTTATAGAGAAAGAAAATGTAAGTAAAAGGACGTGGGTCGTGTTATGGCAGCCTTGCAGTTGTGCCTCTTGACTGCTATCACAACTATATAAGACCACTTGAGCGACTGAATTGCCAGCTTCGGTTACTTGTATCCTTTTGGAACATAGCCTAGTGATGTAGTGGTCCGCCAGCGCCATGACAGGTCGGATAAGAATTCTTTTATAGTATAGGGCTTGTTTTAGCGTATCTACTTGGGTAAGCAAGCTTATGTGAGGGGATCGGGTTATGTGAGCACTCAGAACAAATAGTAAATAATTGGGACATTCTTTCACTGCGAATTACCATACGAAACGGTGGGTCTTTTAAATCAACTGCTATGCAACTAACAATAGTGGATGCAGTAAATGGTGGCTCAAGTTAAAGAGGGTGCATGAGGATATTCACTACGGTGCGGTGAGTCCAGCTCTTTGGTAATGGGTCAAAAGATGATGACACACAAAGCAGAAAGGGACATGATTGAAGAAAAATCCAGAGGGAGCCACGATGCTGGTAGTTCTTTACTGCTCTGGATATCGATGAGTGTCTCGCAAGTGGCCATTTGGCAGCCATGGCATTCATGCCTGCCTCGAACAAAACGGTGGCGAAAATGAAGCGGTGGACTTTTAGGAGCACTGGGCCAGTCTACACTAATAGCAGAGCCTGAAGAATAGAGGTGCCTTGAGCGAAAAATCTTCCAATCTGAAGACAAGCCTCGCTTCTTCTGCTTTACAACCACGACATCGAATTGACCTCTTCATTACTGTGCTCGAACCGCATTCAAAACACCACACGCCGGCGGGACCTGCATCACGACAATGAGACGAACTGAGGAGTGGGTCTCTTTCCCCAGTCCTTCTACCAAACTGTAGGGACTTGCAGTGTTCAGTGCGCCTGTAAGTTCATGCTCAATTTCCATACACTAACCTGCTTGCACTCAAGACGATCATTGTCCACCTAGTATCATCCAATTACTTTTTCTCAACTCCAGTGGGTCCCGTCGTTTCGCCTTCCCACACTACTTCGGACAATGTGTCCTTTCATTTCATTCATCCCCTTCCAAACGGCCCGTGATCCCCATTTCGGCATTTAACCGCTATCCATTATCGACCACCAGATATGACCCAAATATGCCGGCGCAACCCGGCAAGAATCAGTAGATTTGGTAGCGAGAGGACGAACGATACCGTGGGTAATCTGGGACACACGGCCATCCATCCAACTTGTCCCTCCTCTGTCCCGTGATCTTCGATGCACTCAAGCACCAGCAAGAAAGTAACTCCATTCGTGGTCCACGCCGGTCGTCCATTAGGAAAATTCACCGTTTCATCTACCGCCCTGCGCTTTCCGCACCCTCTCATTCGTTCCCAGGGCGTTCATGCTGTCCGTCTCCATCACCGGGCCCGTCACCGGATATACCCCTGGAAATAACGAAGCATAACCCCATCGTACCATTTTCCCCAAGTCCTCAAATCAGCTTCAACATTGCTTGGAGTGTTATGATTGATCTCCAAGTCTCCATTTCATGGTGTATGAAGGTATTTTTCTCACTTCAAGTTATGGGGTTGGGATGATCATCACCGTTGAAAAGGGTTTGATCAGCAGGAGGCGGGCAAATGGCCGGTGCTTGCGCTTGCGGGCGTGCGCGAGTGCGCGGGTTCGCGAAGGAGGAAACGATTCATCAAAAAACGTATTCAAAGGTGTGGAATACTAACCATGACGATGGCCAGGTATTTGATGAGGCAAGCTGCCAAACCCATCACAGCCCGCACAGCAATAAAAGTCCATGCTCACCGTGCCGAGCGTGCCTACGGTTATTTTGCACACCTTGCGTTACCGTGCCTCACCGACCTCACCGTGCTGGCTTACCGCGCAATAGCTTGCCGAGACGGGTCCGGGTCCGGGTGACGCTTCGTCGGGTCCGGGTGCACTTCCCGAACTCCGCTTTTTCTCTGGCGTCTTACCCGCCGCACCCGGTTCGCCCGGTGCAGAGTCCGGTCCCCCTTCCAAAGCGCTTAACACTGTAACACCAATGATTCGAAAGCGATAACACAATCAATCATTGTGAGGATTACACCATCATGAAATCAATTCAAGCGTCATAATCATGAGCATGTGAGAATGGTCATCATTCACGATCCACCAGTTTGAGCAAACGACATGATTGCAACAAAGGTAGCCAGCGGGTGCAGCTCCCGTATCATTTCCGGGATGTCTTCCTACAGGAATGCTCGGGTTTCCCTGCCACGATCCAGACGCATCTCAAGACAAGGGATATTTGAAAGCGTTTGACCAATGGAGCAGGGCGGTCTCAGCTGGACAAAATGCAAACACCAGACCGCTCGTTTGGTTTCGGGTGCAGTTCCCGTATCGACCACTGCCTGCTTCGCCTCATGTTTTGAGTCTCGAGTCATTTACCACCGGCATGGACAATGTCCGCAGTTGTCCAGTCCCTCGGGACAGCGAAGGATGCAAGCAAATCCAAACAAATGTTGACGCCGGATGCAGCTCCCGTACGAAGACCGTTCGAGACCGTCAAACTGGAAACTGGCCAAAGACGAATTACAGAATCCCCAGTCGATGAGTCTCCGAAGCAAATACTCGACATTGCAAACACCATACGCTTACAATCCGGGTGCATTTTCCGTATCCTCGCCACTTCATTTTCGAGTCTTTGACAAAGACCGGTCATTTGCGTCCCCTCCGAGGTGCAACATTTGATCCAGTCCGATTTCCCCAGACAAGTCATCAACATGACGATAGCACACCAAAATCGGTGATTCAAAATCGGTGATTCACAATCGGTGAAAAAAGATGTGCCAGGTGCCGACCGACAAACACATTCATGACAAACAGTGTTTTATCTTTGAGATGTTGGATCACGCAATCCGGGTGCGGTTCCCGTACACATCTTTCCCAAAGCAACTTCTTTCCGTTTCCTCCCGAGTCCGACCAACCAGCCGGCCCCTCTTGCTAAAAGAAAATCCCAGCCCATCCAGACGGGACTCCCATGAGCCGTCGTTCCGCTGCAGCATCAGACCGTCAGGCAAACATTTCAACCCTCGGTCTCGCTTGCACTGTGACAAACATCTCTCCCACTCATTCCGCTGTCCTTACCAATTTTGAGTTTCGACTGCTTCCAGGATATTCAAGGACTGCCTGCCTTACGGTGACGTTTTCAATCTCTTGACCAAATTCGGAGGTCTTGATTCTTACCATGAAAGCTCCTCGAAGGCATCGATACTGGGCCACTACGTATTATTTAGACAAAAAACAACTGAGTGCATTCCTTGAACAAGGCAGAGCGGATTGACAAACCGGACAAATTTCACCCTTCCCTCTCCGCGTCCACATATAGTAAGTACCTCGCAATCTCACACACAGGTTGCGACACTGGCCGGTCAACTGATTTACGGCCTGGAAGGATTTATGAATCTCTCCGGGAAGCCTTGGTGCATCTCCCGAAGCAGTTTTCTGTCCCGATTCCCGTTACAATGGGGCACAAAAAAGGGTTGCAGTAGCATGAGTAGCCCCTCAGCATCAACCAAGCTTCTCGACAGTTACCACACGGCCAACCGCCAACCAAACAACCAAGAAAAGGTTTAAACACTGTAACAAACACCACCACCACTCTCCCAGTTTCCTATCCTCCCACCCACCATTCTGCACTCACATACAGCTCTCTCTTCCTTCCTCTCGCACACCCTTGGGATTTTGACACCCTTGATAACCACCCTCGCTCACCTTCGATATCGCCCAGGCTTGACCCAGGCACAACTCTCATGAGGCCGGGTCACCACGAGTTATGCAGCACCAGCACCAGCACCAATACCAACACTAACACTAACCTCCAAGCCCGACAACCCGACAATCCGACACCAATAGGTAAAGCGCAACGTAACAGGCCTTAAGTCTACAAGCTAGACTAACAAGCCAAGAATCCTCCTGGAACACCAGCCTAGGTATTTTCCCTGGAATTCCTGGCACTAGCTCAGGTCGCCACCGTCGCCGCTCCGGCTGAAGAAGAATCACGAATTGTGCCTCGCTATCCCTCTCTCTATGCCTTATTAACATATATATATACTGTACTCACCGCGAGCGCACGGTCACCAAGGTCATTCTCGGTATCGGATCCTGATGAGTTATGCCTCACCAAGCAGACTCTAATCCTCTTTCTCTCCTTGCCTATCCATGTCCACGGTGTCCCTTTGAGTTTGGCCCCCATCTGCGATTGTCCTCTGCCCTGCCCTGGGCTATCGAGCCTTGTCGAGCCCTGTTCCCATGTGCTGCTGCCCACAGGCGTCCGCTGGTGCCCAAAGGTGCCACTCCCACACTTCCACTCCCGACTCAAACGAAAGCTACCACCATCCCGTGCCCTTCCATTGTCGTTGCCGTTGTTTGCTCGCCGCCGGTCAACAGAGCTTGCAGGATGTGGCGGTTTCATTCAGTCCATTCAGTCCATTTCGATCCATTCAGTGGCATTCGGTATTTCTTCTGGCCATTCTGGCAGTGCGGAAAGCTCTGTTCACCGCTCTATGCGCCACTTTGAAGCCTCTCTGAAGCCTCTTTTTCGCTTGTGTGCAAATGTAATTGGTGTTACCTTTCAATGTGTTATTCACAAGAGACATTTTGCTAGGATGTTACAGTACAAAAAAGCTCATTTTACACACGTCTCACGGGAAATCTCACGGGTTTGAATGCAGGGCAGGTTAGCCAGTTTGTCCGGTTTTTGCATTTCCGATATTGAATTTTTCATGATGATGATAATGATAATGATGATGGATGCTAATGGTGCTAAGTTTCTCTCTCTCTGATTAACCGTGTACCAACGAATGCCCATCTAGATTGTGAACAGTATGTCGAGTTTGTAGAAAATGAGGGGGGGATATGTGTTGTTGTGGATGACGAGGATGGTGATGATGATGATGATGATGAAGGAGCGCGGCTAGCGTGCGTGCGAACAATGTGAGCAAGTAAGCAAGCACGAAACTGGGCGTATGAGTGAGTGAGTGAGTAAACGAGCGATAATTTCAAGATATACACAATAATTTTCTCGCTAGGCTAAAACCGTACAAAATGCGAGAAATAGAGAATCCGATGTGGTAAGAACAATACAAAAAGAAGTCAACAGAAAACGAGTCGGTGTGTATACAAGAAGTGTTGTGTATGAGTGATTGTGAGAGTTTTCTCAATGCCAGATGCATGTTATAATGTGGCACAAGAACTGTCGTGTCGGTCATCGCTTTGTACAGTTCCGAACGGACGAAATTTCCCAAAACCGCGTTCCCGTGTATTGGGGGGCAATGGTATTTGGTGGCCCATGATGGCCGAAGTGCGTGAAGACATCCTGCCGCTCGTTCGGCCGCCTGGTCGAATGATTGTGAGGCCCGGCCTGATGCAGGATGAATTTTGATGTCGGGTTTCGTTATAACCTGCCGAGGATTGAGACGAATTTCCGGAGCTGGTGCTGGGTTTCGATGAACCTCGGTAGCCAATTCCGACATCGTACTTCAAAGGGCAGGCGTGAGTTGAAGATGGAAGTAGCGGTAACACTCGATCCAGTTTCCCCGTTGCTGCTTCCTCCCCTTGCTCACTTTCTCGGTGGTGGTGGTCTGCGTCGACAATTTCCTTCCCTTCAACCAGTCCAGCCTTGATGCGGCAGGTATTGTGGATATTGCAAATATCCCGGTACGGGTGACGGTGACGGTGGTGGTGGTGCCCTCAACGAATTCTTTGACTTCTTGCGACTTTGCGGCGGGAGACTGGAGCGCATACGGGTGCGCTTGTTGAGACGTGGCTTGTAGAACTCGTTTTGTTTACGTTGATCCCTTCTGTATCACGGGTCAGTTTCATTCCACCTTTCATATAAGCCATGATTCTCAAAACATACACTGCGCTCATCAATTGCTCCACATCAAATGCGGCCTGTTCCTTAAGGAGAGCAGAAACCTTCTCGTTCTTGGGGGTCGCTTGTCTCTTCTCCAGGACAATTGCAAGCCAATCGCTAGTCTGGCTGGGTTGAAGTATCGATCGCTCTTCAATCTTACTCGTCTCCTCCACAATCGGTTCAATGTCGGTGATCACTGGTCGGCTGTCGTCGATTCTCGGGAAGTCGTCGTCGATTTCGGGTAGGGCGGCTTCGGACAAAACACTGAGGGCGGGCGAACCTGGACCGGAGCCTGGACACGGGATGTAGTCGACGTATGCCTTCTCCCGCACCATGTACAAGTCGGAACTCAAAGGAACTGCGATATGTTCGTATCGCTCTGGTGTCTTTACAAGTACGTTCAAAACCGAAAGCGAGCCAAGACTCCATAGAAGTTCTCCAGAAAGGGGCGTCTTGGAATCGGAGGAATCATTGCTGTGACAGATGCCGTGGAACTGAAATGGTTCTCGTGAAACGGTAGCGCTCAAAGGCGGCGTCGAATCGGATAGCGGCCGTTGTTGCCAAATGGATGAGAAACTTTGTGTAACACTGGTGTCGCTCATGTCGATGTCAGCTGCCATGTGGCCCAACGTCGGGCACACTTGTTCTACTGACCTCTCATCATCATGCTCAGTTGGAATGAAGTCGTCGAAGAGGCTCGGCTCGCCGTCGCAGGCGTCGTGAAAGCTGTCGAGGTTACGGCGAAGGACAATGCCGCAATAGCTGAAGTCGAGCAGATTGAGGGCCGCCATTGTGGAGTGAGAGCAGCAGGCTCTCGACGGGATGATGGTTGTTGAAGCGTGTGAGGATGACACTTGTACGTGTAAGGCTGATGATGCCAGGGGACTAGGGTCGAGAGGACGGGAGGGAGTCGGTTGGTTTTGATGGAGAGACGAAGATGGAGTTTGGATGGAGACCAGATGGTGGACACCTGTAAAGGTATGGGGATGCCAATCCTCTAGTAAGGAGGCCCGGACTCCACACCCATCAATGAGCAGGCGAGGATGGTGGGCAACTTGACGAGGATGGAAGCGATACTAGTAGGTGCTAGCCAAGCGCATTCTCGGGTCCCTTCCCCAGATCCGGACAGCTTTATTTCGCAAGCGGAGCGTTGGCTGATCGCTAGGAAGTGAGAAGCCGCCAGCGCTTGGGAAGGCTTGGATGTTGTCTGGTGCTAGCGGGGGAGTGTGAGATTTGGGGTTCTGACCCAAGAAAGTGGAACTGGAACTGGAACTGCAAGACTCGGACAGGCTCGGACAGGCTCGGTAGTGTACTGGGATGAGTCCTTGTGCGAGCTATTGTGCTGCCGATACAGACGAGTGGATAATGGGGATGGATGCCAGGTGGTTATTGCTTGGACCCGAGCAGAAGGTTTATGGTAGGTTGGGGGCAGCGACCCAGTTCCCCGGGATGAAGGGGTGAGCGAGGTGAAGGGCGTGCCTTGTCTCTGACGGGAGTGAGGTGTGTGTGAGACAACGGCCGAACGGGCAGCTGCTGCTGGCGACACGGACAAGGACAAGATGAGTTGACGATTGGGATTAGATTCCAGTTGTTGGATTGCGGACGATTGGGCCACGAGTGGGGGAGAAACAGCGAAACAGCGTTCAAAGGGGGGGAAAAGGCATGCAAAAGAGAAATGCAAAAGCGAAAAAGGGCGGACCACTGGCGGGATGGACTCGATGTGTGTTTGGTGGTATTAGTAAAACTGGCACTGGGCACACTGGCAAGAGCCCGCTTGACTGGTAACTGTTCTCTCAAACTACCACCTCACGGTGTCAGCCAGTCGGGCCAATTGGGAGGGACTGGAGGGGAAGGATTGGGAATTGCGAATTGGAAGCAAAATGGACGAATCCATCCGTGCCATGTTTCCTTCTCCTTCAGGCCTTTTTTCCTCGCGGGCGCGCAACAAAAACAGAGATGCCAAAAAGAGGCAGTCGAGCGAAGCGACGGAGTTGCCAAGGCCCGTAATGTGTGCGAATGGGCAGGTAGGTGTATGACCAGGCAAGCTCAAGACGACCGGGCCTGATTGAAGCCCTCTCTTTCGCTGTTGCTGCTTTGGCTGCTGCTTTTGGGCCCCTGGTCGTCTAGTGTTTCACCTGGAGGCACTGGCAGTTCGTACTGGCTGGAACTGGCGCAGGCTGTCTGGAAAACAAAGGGAAAGAAGAAAAGAGACCACCTTCTACCTCAACTCACCTTCAGCGGACAGAGGGGCCGCCGGTTTTGCGGTGCTTTCTAGAGGCCCTTTTTGCACGGCTAGGCCAGAAACAGCTGCCAACAGCGCTCCAACAAGCGAGTGCACCACGGGGACGCCAACGATACTGTGCCGGACGTCTGGTGTTCACAGAAATGTGATAAAAATAAAAGAGAGGAAATGAGAACAAATGGTAGACAAGGAGCCCAGCGACAACCCCGGCGTGCCCAGCCAAGCCAACAGCCCCAAATGGGTAAGGTGTGTATGCACAATTCTCTATTCTGAGTGGTTGTCCGCTTGTCCGTCGTCGCTCCAAGACCAATGACGTGAGGAAAAATCCGGCAACGACGGCAGCGTCCGCGGTGCGCTTCCAACGACAGGATATGAAGCAGGCACGGAGCATCTTGAACGCTGAGAGCACGCTTTCTGAGGGGCCCGGATTTTCGGATTTACTGGAGAGACCAGGGTGCAACACACACCAACACTCAGCCGACAGGGGTTCCAAAGGCCCCGGAAGTGCTCAAAAGGGCGCCCAGAACAGTGCTCTTCCGTCCTCCGGGGCGCTGGAAAGATAAAAGACAAAAGTCGAGACCAAAAACCATCAAAAGGGCCCAGCTCCGGCTCCGGCTCCGTCCAATTGTCTTGTTTTTTCTCTCTCTGTTTTGTTTTTCGTTCCACGACTCTGCAAAAAGAAGAGATGCAAGGAGGAGCAAGACATTTCATTTCCTCTGGTTGTCATTTTCCGTCTCAACTCCTTTTGTTTCCTTCTTCCCAAGACCGGTGTGGAAGCGGCAAGCAATGCAGGCAGAGGCGGACCAGCCGACCGACATGCGCCTGCCATTTGCTGTTGGGCAGTTTTGGGCGCTGAAAAGGCAGGCGACGCAGGCGAGGCAGGCGCTGCGGTCCCGGCAGCAAAAGCACTTGCCCCAATCTGATTGACAGGCCGACAGGCTTCAGGAATGAAGACAAGGGGATTGACACATTTTTATTGACGGGCATCTCCACACGTCGTCGACGAACAGAAAGATCGGACACCCGGCGACAAGAAAACTGACAAAACTGATAGGACAGACCACAAAAAGATTGGTCATTTGCACAAGCCCGACACCTCAGACACAGGCCAGGAGTCCAGGACTGTCTGGAGCACACGGGCCGACTGGAAGCGCTCCCGAAAATGATGAGCGCAGGCCTCGAGGGGCCGAGGGGGGAGGTCCGAAGGATATCGGGGATTAAAAACCGTCTGAAGGGGTCGCCTTTGGTCACTTTTGTTGGCAAATGGTCGTCTCAAGTGGTCGGACCATAATGACGCATGTTGCAGGAGTTCGCAGTCGATCTAGCTCACAGGGAGGACGAGCTCCGTCCCCAGCTCTTCCCAAAGCCGTTGAAACGGCGGCCCCTCCTCCCGCGGGCACTGGGAGGGGGAGACGGGGGAGGGCAGCGACCACTCGGATTTCTTCCCACTGTTTCCACTGTAGAGGATGCACCTTGTGCATATTGGAAGGCTCCGTCCCTTTCCCCGCGGCGGCGGAACAAACACACAACATTCCGCGTCTCTCTAGCGTGCTAGCTTGAGTGCCCGCACTGGGGCTATAGACAGGGGGGGCTTATAATGTGTGACAAGGGAGATCTCGCCAAGTCGAACTTGGGCTTCTTTTCGTGGAAGCGCCTGCCACTTTGGGGCTAACCTTTTACGACATGACTCTATCTCCAGCGCCTCGTTGCCCGTCATCTTGCATTTTCCCTCCTTCGCTTCACTGGGACAAAAGCAACGGAGTGCTCATCGCTCGATTGTGCTCGAGAGACAACGATATCACCATCTACCATCGCGGCACCACACGTACGAGGAATCCCGGGAGTGCGGCACTCTTTATACCTTGGCCCTGAAATGCCTGTCTTGGGACACGGAGGACGACGGAGACGGGACCACACGGGACCACCCCTCCCCCTAATTTGTGCAAATTTGAGAGATGCACATCACAAAATCCCGAGCGGGCAAGCGCAACAGGCGGGCACAGCAGGTTCAGGAGTCGAGAGGAGCAACAGCAAGCAGGAGCCGAGCAGCACACCGCAGCATAGGCACACTCTCGAAAACGGTAAGAATGTTACACAACGTTGCATTCGATGTGCACCAATCAAGTGACCCAAGGCGCTACCTGTATCAGATAATGCATCACCGTTCATGCAACGCCCCAACACCCACCATTAGGACTCTCCCCCCTGACACACAATGGAAACCACCTTAACGCTGAACTAGAAAATCTTTTCCCATTCTGATGGCATCCTGATGGCATTCTGATGGCCCCATAAGGGTACGGCGCCCGAACGGAAACCTCGTTCAAAACAAGAAATACCCTCCGTCATCATCACCATGATCCTCAACAACTCGACTCACCAACAACAACTCGCGGCAAACCCTTGATCCCATCATCTTCGTCCTCCACCATCTGTCTACCTAGTGTCCCTCACCCTCACCCTCGCCCCGCCAAGGCCTAGGCTTGATCTCATGATCCGCGGACACCATGCCATGATGCAAAGAGAAGGTGCTCCGCGCATGGTCTGTTCGGCTATCGCAACCGTTTGCTCCGGCACACCGTCACGGCTTTGAGAAAGAGGATCCTCCAGCTCCAGCTTGTCCAGGCTTGTCCGGGCACAGTCCTTTTTCTTCTTCTTCTCGGTCTTCCCACAGCCTCCGGGATAACGCCCAGTCCGCGCTTGTTTAGTCGAAGTTGATAATCAAGCCATGTTGCCATGCTGCCATGCCATGCCTCCTTCGGCCGAGTTTGGACCGTTCAGCAAAAATCGTCACTTCAAAATCGTATCGTCCATCGTTCATTCCAACATCCGACTCTGAGGCGTGTCCACGGCATCATCCAAATCTAGATCCTGCTGTTGGTGTTGGTTCTTTCGTCAGCGAGCGAGCGAGGCTATGCTCGTACCAGGCAGGCTCCAAGAAAAAACTACCTGGCACCACTTACCGGTGTTTTCTTGCTTCTTTTTCTTCTCATCACCTCAGCATCGTCAAATCGTCAAAAAGGTACTGTAGCTTCCTCGGTAGTTTGTTGATTGCTATAGCAGGGTAAGTTTGTTAGAATGAGACCTCAATCACCACGCTGCACCGTATACACTTGTTAGTTATGAGACCTAATCATCACTCTTATCACTCTTATGCATATTGGACACTACTAGTATCACTTGATTTACGTTGCATACGAGGGTCAGTTTACGTTGAAGAAAGCTCTACGCAGGCATATTGGACATCAGTATCACGAGTTCACTTTGCAGAAAGAGGACCGGTTTATGTTGGAGAAAAATATGTGTTTCGTTTTGACGTCTGACACTTCATGCTATCTCCAGTTTCCCAATTCCAAAAAGGCTTTCCGTCCATGACCTTTTCTATCCAAGATAATCCTCCGTGAATTCCCAGATGACAATCCAAGCACCATTCTTCCCAAATTCCAAACCATTTCCGTCCATAACCGTTCTCGTTCAAGATGATCCTCCATGTCCTTTTTTCCAGGCTTTTTTTTTTTTTTTTTTTTCGTTGTTCGCACTCCCGTGGTATCTCACTTTCGCGATTCCAAACCCTATCCGTTCATAACCCATTCCCGTCCAAGATGCTCCTCCGTGAAAACCCACTTGTCCCAAATCCCAACACTGTACTTCCTGTACCTGTTCTGATCGTCCATCTCTTAGACCCGTTTCCTCCTTGTAACGTACGTAGTGTAGATTCCTTTGCAAGTGGCGTTCCGAACCATTCGTCATATCATCTCTTCTGGGACCCTTTCGATGGCGCCCACTTCCAGTTCGTGATCCTTTCTGGCTCTCGCTCCTCGACCGTTGACTGGCTGAAAATCCGAGATTTGTCGTGATTCGAGGGTTGTTCAGAAGAAATCCTCCTCTCCAAACTCGACAATGGTGTTGGTCGGGCGAAAGTGATAGCGCCAGCTAAGGAACCAGCGCAGTTCTCGGGCGTCCAGGGGCCTGTACTCGGGCCCGGCGAGGCGGAAGTACCAATGGTCGTCGCTGCCTCTGACGTACTCTGCGAAGGATGAGTTCTCGCCAGGGCATGGGGTGTGCTCGATGACTTCCCAGGTGGGCGGCATCTCAGCCGCTGTCCACCATCTTTCGACTATGGATTCCTCCTCTTCGAGGATGCTCTCCTCGGCAACGGCAAACTCCGTGGTCATGTCCTCGGTGACTCGTTCGGTGGTTTGTATCTCCAGAATTGGTTCCTCCTGTTGTTTGCTAGCTTCGGGTTCGGCGTCCCATGGAACCCTCGGAAGGGGTAGTTGGTCGTCGATGATCTCGGCGAAACTTTCTTCGGAGTCGTCGCTGTGCTGGATGTCCCGAGGAGTCCCCTTCTCGTAGAAGCTAGGTTCGTCGTCGTCCCAAGGGACCCAGGGAAGTGGTTGTTGCTCGTTGTTGTTGACCTCGGCAGTCTCGGTGGTTGTAGCCGCTGGCTCCTCGTCCTCATCGTCCCATGGAAACGGTGCTTCCTTCTGTTGCTTAACCGCTTGTCCGATTGATTCCTAACCCACCGTGACAATTGGTTGTTCGACAATGAGTTGCTCGGCAATGTCGTCTTTGACAATGGATTCGTCGGCAAAGGATTCTTCGACAATAGACTCCTCTTCAACAATGGACTGCTCGTCAGCAACGCGCTCTTCTTGGGCAACGCGCTCTTTCTCGCTAAGGTGCTTCGCTGCGGCGTCGATAGCAAACTGTTGTAGCTTTAGAGGCAACGAAGCCACATCCCCAATGATGAATGCCAGCAGCTCTTCATGTTCCTCGCAGTTCATATGATCAACCGAGCCATCGTCGTGGTAAAGGTACCAATTTCCGCAATTAAGCTTGGCGTACTTCGGACCGTTAGGGCGCTCCAAGATAGCCAGGATCTCGATATCCTCGGGAGTATCCTCGGAATAGTGGTAGGGAGTTTCAAAGTCCTTCGGATCGTTTGGTGGTGCTGAGTCGGTGGTTCGGTCACTCATAGGCGAAGGCGTGGGACTGTCGTCCCTGAGAAGTCTCCTGTCGTACGTGATACCCTCGCCAGAGACAGCGATGGAGGTAGGATCGTATGTGATACCCGTACCCTTCTTGGCCGAGAGGCAGATTGTGAATCCAGCCATGGCTTGGTACTCGAAACTTTCGTCATGATCGGAGTAGATGTTTGCTGTGGGAGAGCCAGGCGCTGTGACAGTCGTTGCTGTGGTGTCGTTGGTGTCGTTGCTTTCCTTCGTTTCGTTCGTTTCTTCGGAAGAGTTGGTCCTGTGGAAATGAAGAGTTAGTAAATGGGTTTCAAGTGTAAGTGTAAGTGGTGTGGTGGGGATGACTTACTCATTAGACACCTTGCGGGTGTGTGAGAACGGCTCTCCAACTGGGGAGGCAAAGATTGGCTTCCGGGCGCGCGGGCCGGTGGGGGTTTGTGGAGCTGGGGAGCTCATAAAGATTATGGCGCCAAGGGCCGCGAAGTTCTCGGGCGCATGATGGATTGAGGGGTTGTCCGCAGGTTCGATAAGGAAGCCGGATGACGTGAACTTGTTTTTATTGTTGGAGCACCCCTTGGAGTTTTGGGCGGGAGGGCCGATTGGGGTCTGCGGGGCCAGAGAACTCGTGAAGATCATCGGGCCAAGGGCAGCGAAGTCCTCGTGTGCATGGCGGATTGAGGTGTTGTCCGAGCTGTCGATGAGGAAGCCGGACTCGGTGAATTTGTTGTTTGAGCCCTTGGGGAGTTGGGCGATCGGTGTGTCGTGGACCGAAGCGTTGCCCGGGCTTTCGATCAGGAAGCCGGATTCGGTGAATTTGTTCGTTGAGGAACCCTCGGGTACTTTCGCAGGTGAGCCGATCGTGGTTTGCTGAGCCGGAGTCGCAACCGGAGTGTCAACAAGAAAGCCGGATTCCGTGAAGCTTGGGCCCTCAGTAACATGGGCGGGAGATGCGGCACGGACCGGAGATGCGGGCGGAGTTGGCGGCGGCGCAGGCCGGGTGTTGATCTCGATCTTCTTTGCCAGAGCGATCACGTCTTCCTCTGAGTCGGAAAACATTCCGAGATCTTCTTCGTTCCATTTCTGGAATGACGCGTCGATGTCGCGAGCAAGGGTAATGGTGTGCTCCACGGGGTCGCTGAAGCACTCGACCTTTTCGAATTCGTCACAAAGTCGGTTAACCTTCTTAGCAAAGGCGATGATATCCTCCGTGTCGGAAAATTCCTCAAGCTCGTTAAAGCTGCTATCGAAATGGTCGGATAGCTGAGGAAGCTCAACACCATGCTCAGTGAAAGAAAACTCCTCCAGCTCGGCAAGACTGTCATCAGCTTTGCTAGACGACCTCGGATACTCGATATCTTCCTCTTCCTTGTCCACTTCGACGATGATGGAGAGCTTGCAGATCTCGTTGAAAACGGGAATGCAGACTATTTGGCAATTAGTGTGTTGATCTACATATTCTTTTTGGGGGTCTTGATCTTGACTTACGAGGCTTGGGATCAAAGCGGACCGCTTGGTTGATATCCCTTTGCAAAGGGATGACAAGCTTGGCCTTGGGCCCAGTGGTGATGGCGGCGTTAGAAGGAGGGGTTTGGACGAAGTACATCTTGTCTTCCTTGAAATGCTTCTCGAAGGCCGTGTAGTTGAAGACATCTGAAGCCAGGCCGCCGAAGGAGTCGTTATCGCTGGTCGTCAATTTAGTGTCGTTGATAGGAGAAGTTGTGGGAGCCGCGAACTCAATGATGTCGAAGGTCGGGCGGTCATGGTGACAACAGTGGACGTTCGAGTCGGCGGGGACAACGATAACAGAAGACTCGATGTCGTTCGGGGCATCCTCGATGGGGCCGACAGTGGTGATAGTGTCGAGATCCTTAGAGGTATCAAAATCTTGGCTGCGGATATGGACCTGAAGAGTGTCGACCGAGTCCGAGTTCGTGATGTTAGTCGCAATGATGGCGGCATCGGTGATGGTAGTGACCTCCGTGATGATGGTGTCGGGTTTCGTGATCCGGTCGGCGATGATGAGAAGAAAGGTGCCGAGAATAGCGAGAATGGTGTTGCCAGTCAGGGCCGAGATGATGATCATCCCTATGACTGCGTTGAGGGTGGTGTCGATGTTGGCGGAGTTCATCTCAATGGCGATGTTGTCAATCGAGTGGCTGGCGTCGTTGATGTTGCTGTCAATATTGATAGTGTCGACCATGTCGCGGTCAATGGGGCGCGCAAGCGCAGAAGCCCCGATGGTAGAAGACATTATGATTGATGTCGACTGAAGATAGACGGAGGAGTCTGACAAGAGAGGGGAGGAGAAGAAGATGAGGATGGGTATCAATTCAATAGTCGCTAGTTGGGGGGGGGGGGGGGGGGGGAATGGATGCGGCAGAGCGGCAAGATCTTGATGATGAGAGGCTCGAAAGTCGATGGTTTGTGTCGTTAGACAAGAGAGAGCTTTAGCAGAACAAGAGCCGCGAGGCAAAAGTTTTTTTGCGTGAGCGAGAGAATAAATTCTGCGGTAGCGCAAGAGATACTTGATGTGAGATGACGAGAGAAGGATTGAGTTCCAGTTCTGGGATCAGAAGACGTGCTCTTATACCCTCCTAGGTTGGATATTTGCTGCTGCGTTGCTGGGTGGTTTGTTGGGTGAGCCCAGGCCTGTTCAGATGGGCTGTTCATCGTTCAGTAGTGCTGTGTCCATGTGGTTGCTTCGACTGTCGTTATGGAAGGGGGTGGACGGTGGTGGCAGCAAGGTTGGTGATGCTGGGGATAGACAACCGTTGGTGGTTTGGTTGTCATGAGCAACCCGGTGACAGGGTGTTACACCTCATTGGTCGAGACAGGTTGAACAGTCCGGACAGGGAAGGCGGTGTATGAACAGGGCTGAACAGCTGAACAGCTATTTCTGGGGGATGGGATAGCAATGAACAGAGGTCAAACCCAGGGCATGAAACCGGGGGAAGACAATGGAAGAGCGGCTACCGCGGGGACTGTATACGACTGAACCAGGGACGTGAAATTTCCGGCGAACAGTCAGATTTACAGCTGTTTCCGGCCGAGCTGACGGCCCGTGAGTTTTCTGAGCGGCCTGGGGGTCACGGGAGTTCAAGAAGCTCATGAAAGCTCATCTGCCGGGTGATTGCGTATATCAAAACATTTGAGCGTCACTTCAGCAAAAGTCAAACCTCTAGCTATTGCCGGGCCAGGCCAACGGCGCCCGGACCCGCCGAACAGACTTCACAGTCGAAAAGCAGGAGACTTATGGAAGGCTAGAGCTGGACTTACTAGAGACTGTTCAAACTAAGAGATAACGGCTGTAAACACTGGTGATAGTCAAATCGACACCCATCGCCGATCCTTCCTGCCTTCCTCTGTTCACCGAGGTGTCGTCGCAGTCGTAGAAGCTGGAAGCAAATGAAAATCTTGTATGGTTGAGGATGTTTGCCCCGATACGATAAACAACTGGGGCAAATATCCGACAGACAATGGGGCTGGCGGTAGTCGCCTATGTGGTACCAACTTGAGCACACTGGCAAGGGATGCCAAGACATCGCGATGCGGTGAGGGAGAAGAAGGCCGTACAGAGTGCATGGACGTCGTGGGAGACACTCCGCAACGACACCGCCGGATCACCATTCTGTGAGGCGTTTGATGTTGATATCAGTAGCATACTTGGCTTAGTAAGGCAGAATGGATTTTCATGAGTATATTCATGAATTATGGGATTTGGGATGGTAATATGAATTTGATGTGGGAATGCAGGTCAACCGCTTGTTGAGAATACATCATCCTGTGATCAGGTCCTGTCGTGTTCTCGTTCTCGGTGTTTGGCTCTGGCATCGCTCCACAAACGATTGCATTGCCTTTTCGTAGAAGTTTCCACGTGCAATCATGTTGTGAATCAATTGTCCGTTTTACCTACATATGTTCGTTCCATTGATCGAGGTTGATGAAAGCTGTTCTCGTCGAGAAGTCGTTTAACGTTGCGATGGTCGGGCCTTTACAGCAAGTGTGATTCAGCAGACGATAGCGGCGTGTTAGCGAGGCATAGAATTTCCGGGTGTTACAGGGCCTCTGCACTATCACTTGTAAACCCACACAACCACAGTAACCAAGAACTATCACACACTAACAGTAATCAGCTTAAATCGCAGCATTCGGCGTTAGCAAAACAATGGGCTCTGCTATATTACTGCTGCGGCGAGAGGGACAATCACTACTTGCAGCCAATCACACAGGCAGTCATAGTAATCAAGCATTCAGGCGATCATTAAGCGTGTTTATCACAAGTCATCATAGCGGTCAAGTTTCACTGGTAGCGTATTCTTGTGCTATCTCAGTGCTATCCCGTTCTGCAATCCTTATCCTTCGTCCCATTCTCGAACTTCTGATGCCATCCCGGGCTTGACCCATCCGTACCCGTTCCGTACCCCGCAAAGTCAACTCCAAAGTCATTCGTTCGTTCCTGATGTCCATCCCGTCTTTTTTCCTTCCGTCTCGGGAGATCTACCAAAAGCCCCTCCTAATCCCTCCAAACCACCAACTTCTCCTCCTCCTCCTCGCTCTCCTCCGCAATACTCTCCATCTCCAAATTCCAATAGTACCACTTGTTGTTCATCCTTCCACCCCTCTTGCGCAGCGGCGCGCGCACCCAAGTCTTCTTCTCCGGGTCCTGTGGTGCAGGCTGCTCGTTCTCCTCAGGCTCATCAAAAGCGTGGGCATCACCGTCTCTCCAGCGATTGAACTTGTCCAGCTCGTCGGCGTCCAGAAGGCGAAACATGCCCTCGTACATCCAGTAGATCTTGTCATTGCTGCCGCTCACGAAATTCTTGTTTCCGTCGGGGTGGGTGAAGAGGCCGCAGGCGGTCCAGTTCTCGCCGATGTCTTGCGGGTCTTTCCAGGTCGCGAGGGTGGATTCCCAGGCGGCGAGAGGGTCGGAGGAGTAAAAATTGCCATTCTCGTCGTCGGCAAGGTCGGTGTAGTCGAGGAGTTGGATGCCGCTGCTGGTGCCGGTGGTCGAATCCTGATCTTGGTCTCGGTAGTCGGGGACCATGAGGTCGATGGTCTCGTGGTCGAGGAGTTCGATGGGTTGGTTCTCACCGTCGCAGTCGCAGTTGGGGTCACAATGGCAGTCTTCGAAACCAGTCTGTCCAGAGGATTCCTACTCCTCGGGGGTGGTGGCGTGGTTCTGCTGCTCGACCAAGTCGGCTTCCTCATTGCCTGACTGCTCCTCGTCTCCGTCATCGTCAAGACTCTCAATGATGGCAATGTTGTTGCTGGTAATAATTCCCTGCTCAGCGTCCGCTTGTTGCCTCTTGTTGAAATCCTCGCGGGTGATGACGGGGGTTTGACTGGTCCAGGCGATGAACTCCTGGTACTCGGCCTTTGCCATGGGGCGGATCTCGTCGTCGTTTTCGAGGGCGTACCAGTAACCGCAGGTCATCTGGACGTAGCGACGGTTGGGGTCGAGACGTTCCATGAGGAAGGTGGCGTCAAAATCGGAGGGTGAGAATTGACCGTAGTTGTAGAGGTGGCCAAACTCATCCGCTTGCTGGAGCTTGTCGTTGTTGTCTGTGAGAATGGCATCGTCAAACTTGTCGTCGACTGCGCTGGTGTCGAGGGTGGAGTACTCTGTGTCTGGAGTATCGGGAGTGGTAGCGCGGGTGGCATCGCTGTCAGTAGTCTTGTCCGTCTCAGTGGAGGAATTGGTCCTGTGCAAGGAAAGGTTAGTAAGCACGCTATGATCATGGGCTGGGAATTGGTTGGATGACATACTCATTAGACAATCTGCGAGAGTGATGAACAATGTCGACTTCAGCGTCGAGGCTCCCCTTGTTGTCGGCCAAAAGCTTGATGTCGAAAGCGATGGCCTTGTTGTCCTGGGTGCTTGGCTTGGTGACCTTGGTGACTTGCTTCTTAGTCTTGGAGAGCGCACTGCAAAGCTCGGGCTGGCTGGGGACGGCATGCACCCATTGCATCTTGTCTTCTTTCAGGAACCGCTCGAAGTCGTGGGCAATGCTTGAAGCGGAGGCGCCCATTTCGTCAACGTCGGCGACGTCGGTGATCTTGGAAGCCATGGAGATGTTGACCTCGGTGATGTCAATGGTGGGGAGCACATGCTGGTAGGTATGCTTGTTGTTCTCGATGGTGAGCACTTCCTCGTCGATGATGGATGAAGTGTCGTTGCGGTTGTCGTCAACAATGATGTCGACATCCTGGGTGGGCTCGACTTGCTGAGAGACTTCGGAAACTTGAGCGGGCTCGTTATCCTCGACAATAGGCGCGGTAGCTTGAACGTTGGTTGACTTGGTGGTATCCTTGCGATCATCGACGATGTTGGACTTGTTAGCCGTTTTGTTGACCTCGGTAGGGGCGATAGGGGCGATGTTATTGTTGAAGGCATGAGCGATGGAGTTCATGCGGCGAGCTTTCTTTATATTGTGAATCAGGCCGCCGTGCTGAGCCGAGTCAATGAGGGAGAGTGTGTTGGATCCTTGAGTGATGCTGAGGAAGTTGGCGATCTCGAAGGCCTCGGTGGGGATGGGTACTGTTATGGAATGGTTAGTCTTGACTAGGCACTTCAAGCTGCGAGCTATTGGGGACGACTTACCATGAGCAATGCTCGATGCGGTGAAGGAAGCGAGGGCCATTGCCTTGATGTCAGCGATGGTCGGGAACGCGAGGCGTGGGTCTTGAGCCTTGAAGGCGGACGGCCAGAGTGAGATAGCCATCGCGCTAATTGTGAAGAGAGTACGAAGAAGTGTTATCACTAGGTGATGAAAGGGTATGAAGAAGGTTGATGCTTCGTTGCGTTGGAGTTGCAATGATGCGTGGGGAGTCCTTATGATTTTGGATGAGGGAGGAGGAAGAAATCTGGTTCAGGATCTGGGGCAGGTCGGGAATTCTTATACCCTTCTAGGTGGGAAATTTATTTCGATTGTCGCCGGTGACTGTCTCCAGGTTTTGGGTGGTTTGTTGACATGGTGATGGTGTTCAGGTTAATACAGAGCGAATGTTCAACACATGCTTGGTTAGTTTAAGTTCGAACAGGGGAGGTGAAAACTGAACAGCGATGAACAGCAGTGCACTGCTACGGGTAATCCATCAACCCTGTTCAGGTCTGGATTTCATGAGCTTCTGTGTGATATTATTGAGAGTTGTTCAGCTTTAGGTTGTCGTGGGAATGGCCCGGCAACCGTACAGATCCGGTGAGTGCTGAGCAGGAACCCTGCGCTGCGGATGACATTTCACTTCGAGGCGACTTTTGAGCCAGAAACCGTAATGTTCTCTGTGATACTGCCAAGGACTGCTTGCTCCAGAGCTGCTATGAGAGTCGAGTGTCATGGGGGTTTAGTTCTTCAAAATTGCCAAGACATGGACACCATAGAGGTGGAGATAGAAGGGTGAGGGCTGCATTCACATGGTCGGAGACACTCGGGGACAACATAAGCCCATGTTCTTTTAATGAAGAATCAGCATTTCTAGTAGGCATGAAGACTGTTATAGATTTGTTTTACAAAGTTTGAGGCCAAAGTACGCATTTAAAGGCGGCAGAATATCACGGCTATGTTATGGAGGAAGTTGTTGTGCAATATGCTTCTGACTTTCAAGTTGATCATGGCACCACCGTTAGTTTGGTAATTTATCTACTATATAGGCAATGCAATTTGTCAACAGAGAAGTGTATAATCATGGACCAACTCGCACAATAAAATCCACATTTGAAGTTTTTTTTATCTCGATCAATCGTGAAGTTCAGGGAAGTAGCTGGCGAGATCATCAGGCAAGATTGCACGTTTCATGTCACATCATAAGTCATCGGGATATGGGACAACAGTTATCTCATCAACTTCAATTCATCTCAGCCCAACTATCTGCCCAACGTCTTCCCATCCCTCCTTCCCAGATCTCTATCCTTAAGTCTAGTGTGTTCCTCACAAGAATAGCTTGTAGTTCTCATCGTCCTCATTGACGTTCTCAAAATCCTCGAGTCCCCAGACACTCTCCTCGTCATCATGGTCCTCCGCCTCCACCACTTCCTCGACCCCCTTGAAAGCTTCGTCAACCTCCTCGATAATAACATCAAGGCCCCAGATTGTTGCCAAGCTGTTGCGGTCGTTGGTGTTAACGTCGTTGACTTCCTGGGCTTCCTGTAACTCCTCCGCTTCCTCATCCTCCTTTTGGATGGTTTCAAGACCGCAAGCGTTCTGCAGGCCCACCTCCTTCTCATCCTGGACCTCCCCGTTTAAGTGCAAGATGACGGCAGGGCCAAAGAAGCGCCAGCCATTGAACTCCTCGAGCTCTTCATCCAGAAGGAGCATGAAAGCCCCCTCGTACTCCCAATACCAACGTCCGTCAGAGCCGAGGACGTAGCTCTTGTTTCCGTCCGGATGGTTGTACCAGGCGAGGACCTCCCAACCCGCGGGCAGGTCCTTTCTCTCCTTCCAGCAGAAGAACTCGTCGAGTGGGTGTTTCTCCTCCTCCTTGGTCACTTCGTCGGAGTAATAGTTGACCATCTCAAAGCCGTGGGGACTCGCGACAGCCTTCACCGTGGGGGTCCTCTCCTTCGTCTCGTTGTCGATGTCCTGGTTTTGCGTCGCCATTGCAAGCGCCACCTCGTTCTTCTAATCCGAGATGGTTGTAGCCGGCTTCGCGTCAGGGTCGGCCATCCAGGCGAGAAAGTCCTCGTGCTCGTCAGGCAGCATCCTGGAGATCTTTCGACGATCATGGTAGATGTACCATTTGGAATTCGTGAGAAGAACGTATTGCAAGCCATATTCTTCGCGATCAAGTGTGTGAACGATGTCGAGGTTGTCGTGCAAGTCGGTGGTAGAGCCGGCATCGGAGTTGTAGTCGTTGTCACTAGCGTAAACGACGCTGGAATAAGCGTCGATGTCAGTATCGCTGGCGAGATCGGACTGAACGAGTGACGGAGAGCGCGGGCCGGATGGGGAAGGTGCGGACGGCAGCGTCGGGAAGGAGTGGTAGTCGGTGGGGCCGCGAGTTTCGTCTTGAGTTAAACTGCCGGTGTCGCGGGAAGAACCGCGGTTGTCGGAATGCCCCCGTGTCATAAGCTGACCGCCCTTGATGTTTTTGTTCATGAAATCCGATTGGGAGTAGTTGGTATCTTGGGTTTCAGTAGTGTCCTTGCTGAAAATGCTGTCGATAGTGGACTTTGAGTTCTTCGACGAGGTGGTGCTGCAGAAGGTTAGGACAAGTTCATGGATACGTGATGCAGATGCAAAGGGATGCGGATGACTTACTCGGCAGAAGCTTTGCGGCCGCGATGGCACTTGTCGGCCGAGACAACACCAGCGTCATTGGACGTATTCTGGGCGTCGAAGGCAGGGAAAGAGACGTAGTCAACTTGAGCGATTCCAAGGGGAGCGGTGTTGTCACTATTGTCGATAGTGGTGTCGATACTCATGGCATCGTCAACATCGTCAATCTTAATGTTGTCCTTGGCATCTGCCTTGGAGACAGATCCGACCTGCTCGAGTAAGTTAGCTATATGCGATGGATTTCGACGCTCCTTTTCATGGTGAGAACTTACCTTTTCGGCGGGATTCTGGGAGGCAGTCATTGCAATGGGGACCTCGAATGATCCGTCGACAATCGCCTTGATGATGGCGCTATTGGGGGTTCGAATGCGGTAGGTATGAGCGGCAAGGCCCAAAGAAAAGAGAGAGGAAGGCATGATGATTGTTATGTCTGAAAGAGAAGAGAAGAATTTGTTTCGAGGATGTGTGAGAGAGGTAAGCTTTGGGTTTGGCTTGCGAGTTGAGAAATTGACGGTGCAAGTTGGGAGTCCAGCTTTGGGATGCAGAAGGAAAAAGTCCAGTCAATGTCTGGGCCCCCAAAAAGATATTATTATACCCTGGGACAGGTTGGCCGTCGCCGAAATGCTGAAGCTATCCCCACTTGCGACCATGGCGGAACTGTATGACTGTTCACATCATGAGCAGACTATTTGGGTGGTGATGCCCGTTGCGCGGGCAACCGCCAAGGTTATGGACGCCCATGGATTCCACGAGATGTAAACAGCACAGGAGTATTCATGTTCAAGTATTGAACAATGATCCTGTTCATTGATGACGCCTGGCTGGCCTAAACAGTGATCTGAACGGTCGATACAGTGGTTGGAGAGCTGTTCAGAAACATCGCCAACGCTGAGATACTCCATGTTCATGTGTTGTACAATGAACAGGACCTTCGGATAATCGCGAGGAGTTTGCAGAGCAATGCCAGATTGTGGAAAGGGAACAGAAAAGAAGAGGCAAAGGAAAAAAAAAAGAAAGAAAAAGAAAAAAAAAGAAAAAAAAGAAGAAAAAAAAAAGAAGAAAAGAAAAAGAAGAAAAGAAAAAGAAGAAAGAAAAAAGAAGAAGAGAAACACACACAGCAGAATGATGCATAGGGAGTTAGAGCGCAATTACAGACACGGAGCAGAGACTATAACTTTGGGCAGATGTATATTAACGTTGGTAATGATATGTTTATACATCCTAGCACTAGAGGGTACAACATGGCACAAGAAGATAGTAAGGCTCTGAATGCCAAAGATGCTTCAGTTATGAGGTCACCGAGCAATTCAAAAGATATACTGTCAAGAATTTTATTAACCCAGGAATTAGAGGCCAATTGTTTGACTACCCATAAGTAACCATAACCATACATGGAGGTTTTACACGCTCTGCTTACCAGGGACAGAAATCATTATACTCGGAAGTCGCTGATTTTCTGGCAAGTAAAAGGTAAATCATATGAGACAGATCCGATACCAGCAAGTCACATCACTTCGTTGTCAAGCGCGGGGAGTTTGGCTAGCAGTTTTAATGTTTCCACTTCTCCTAATTCGTCCCTGCCCCCCCCCCCCCCCCCCCC